GTGCCCCCCAGCCCCGGGATTTCGGGAATGCCGGTTGGGAAGCGGCTCCTGGTGCCCCCCAGCCCCAGGATTTTGGGAATGCCGGTTGGGAAGCGGCTCCTGGTGCCCCCCAGCCCCGGGATTTCGGGAATGCCGGTTGGGAAGCGGCTCCTGGTGCCCCCCAGCCCTGGGATTTTGGGAATGCCGTACCGCAGGGGCTCGGGGCAGGGACACTTCCCCTCGAGCATGTCGCACACGGCCACGCGGATCGTCTCGTGCCGGATGCACTCGTTGTAGTTCTTGCTGTCCCCGGGGTGCCGCTCCTGGAAAACGGCTCGGGATGGTGGGAGCAGGGCCCAGCTGCGCCCCACCGGCCCCTGAGGCTCCCTGAGCACCCCAATCCCCGTTATCCTCTTCCTCACCACCCCAATCCCAGCTCTCTCTGACCCCCCAATCCCAGGCTCAGATCCCGGTTCCAGACTCAGATCCCGGTTCCAGGCTCAGATCCCGGTTCCAGGCTCAGATCCCGGTTTCAGACTCAGATCCCGGTTCCAGACTCAGATCCCGGTTCCAGACTCAGATCCCGGTTCTAGACTCAGATCCCGGTTCCAGACTCAGATCCTGGTTCTAGACTCAGATCCCGGTTCCAGACTCAGATCCCGGTTCTAGACTCAGATCCCGGTTCTAGACTCAGATCCCAGTTCCAGACTCAGATCCCAATTAATTCCAGGCTCAGATCCCAGTTCCAGGCTCAGATCCCAATTAATCCCAGGCTCAGATCCCAATTAATCCCAGGCTCGGATCCCGGCTCCCAGCTCTCACCTGCTCGAAGCCGGGCTCGTTGTGGTACGGGTTCTCGGTCATCAGGGACTGGATGGAGATCAGCACTGAGGAGATGCTCTGGGCCGGGCTCCAGGCCGGGCCTGTCCACGTGCTGGGGCAGCAGAGACAGCCGTTAATTAATGAATTCATTAATTAAAGCAGCAAACCCCTTGTGGCAGAGCCCAGAAACCTGGGGGAGCAGAGCTGGGCTTGAACTTTTCCCTGGCACAGCCTAAACTGTGTCCTGTCCTTCTGTCCTGTCCTGTCCTTCTGTCCTGTCCTGTCCTGACCTTCTGTCCTGTCCTTCTGTCCTGTCCTGTCCTGCTGTCCTGTCCTGTCCTGTCCTGTCTGTGCTCACCTGGGAGCAGAGCCTGACCCCACCTGGCCCCAGCCTAGCCCCTAGGCCTGGCTTACCCGAGGATGCTGAGGCAGCCCCTAGGCCTGGCTTACCCGAGGATGCTGAGGCAGCCCCTAGGCCTGGCTTACCCGAGGATGCTGAGGCAGACCTTGCCGTTGCGGTAGAAGTTGGGGTTGAACCTGACGGTGTTGTTGCCCGTGGTCATCAGCTTGACGCGGGGCGGGTGGATGGGATAATCCGGGGGGCAGCGGAACAGGAACAGGAAGAAGCCGCCCTCGTAGGGGGTGTCAAAGGGGCCCGTGATCAGCGCGTGGATCTGCGGGAACAGCGCCTGGATGTTCCCAAAAACTCCAGCGTTCCCAAAAACTCCAGCGTTCCCAAAAACTCCAGTGTTCCCAAAAACTCCAGCATTCCCAAACCCTCCAGCATTCCGAAAAACTCCAGCATTCCCAAACCCTCCAGCATTCCCAAACCTCCCAGTGTTCCCAAACCTTCCAGTGTTCCCAAAGCCTCCAGTGTTCCCAAAAACTCCAGCGTTCCCAAAAACTCCAGCATTCCCAAAAACTCCAGCGTTTCCAAACCTCCCAGTGTTCCCAAACCTTCCAGTGTTCCCAAACCTTCCAGCATTCCCAAAAACTCCAGCATTCCCAAACCTCCCAGTGTTCCCAAACCTCCCAGTGTTCCCAAAGCCTCCAACATCCCCAAAGGCTCCGGCCTTTGTTCCCAAAGCCTCCACGGCTCCTCTGAATCCCATCCCAACATCCCCAGGAAAGCTGGAGCCTCGCTGGTCCCTCACCAGGACATTCCGGGAATATTCCAGCTGGGAAATGCCCCCGGAAGCCCCGGCCAGCCCCACCTTTGGGGAGGAGGAGGAGGAGGAGGAGGAGGCTGAAGGAATCGCAGCCGATCCTCACCTTGGTCATGTCGTGGGGATCAGGCACAACGAACATTCCCGGGGGCGGCTCCTTGTAAATGGACATGATATCCCTGGAAAAGGCGACGGGAATTAGCCGGGATCGGCCCGGAACGGCTCCAGGGACAAACCCCTGCAGGGCTGAGGATTGGAACCGGGATTTGGGAGGTGCTGTCCCGGCTCCAGGCGGGTTTTGGGGGAGCTCCAGGAGCAGCCGAGGCATTCCAGAGCATTCCTGGAATCCTTGGGAATCCTGGCTGGAATCCTTGGGAATCCCCCCTGGAATCCTTGGGAATCCCCCCTGGAATCCCCACCCCTGGGGTTTCACCACCTCCAGCAGCACCAATTCAAATAAAAATAAAAATTAAAATTAAAATTAAAAAAAATTATATAAAATAATAACAAAAATAAAAATAAAAATAAAAATAAAAATATATAAAAAATAAAAACAAAATATAAAAAATAAAAATAAATAATAAAAATAAAAATATAGATATAAATAAATTCCCACTGGGAATTCCCCTCGGGATCTGTCCCCAGGTTCTCTCGGGTGAGGCTCAGGGTGTTCCCAGCGCTCTTTTCCCCAGGCCGGGATGGATTTGGGGTTAATGGATCAGGGCAGGGATTCCAGAGCTCCCCGGGAGCTCCTTCCCTTCCCAAACCTCATCCCAACAGCTCCAGGACTGGGAGCAGCTGAAATCCCAGGAAATCCCAGCAGCTCCGCGCAGCCCATGGATGAACGAGACAATCCCATCCTTCCCAGCCCCTCCCGAGCTCCCGGGGGTTCCCAGCAGGAATTTCCCCTTCCCCGCCTGCCCTGGGGAGCTCGGGGTTGGAACATTCCCAAAAAAGCCGGGATGAGCCCGGCAGGCAGCGATTCCTGCTCCCGGGATGGAGCCGGTGAATTAACGGCAGCGTTTGGATCCTCGTCCCGCCGGGATCCACAGGGCGGGAATGGGGGCTTGGGGGGAATCCTGGAGTTTGAGCATGGAAGGGCCGGGAAACCTGACCCAATCCCGGATTTCTGCCCCAATCCCGGATTTCTGACCCAATCCCGGATTTCTGCACCAATCCCGGATTTCTGCCACATCCCGGATTTCTGACCCAATCCCGGATTTCTGACCCAATCCCGGATTTCTGCCCCAATCCTGGATTTCTGCCCCAATCCCGGATTTCTGCCACATCCCGGATTTCTGCCACATCCCGGATTTCTGACCCAATCCCGGATTTCTGCCCCAATCCCGGATTTCCAGCACGTCCCGGGAGCTGCCAGCGATGCCCAGGGCGGGATTGGCACCAGGGAATTCTGCTGGGAGAGCCCGGGGTGGCACAGGGGGATCCCCCTGAGCCCAACACCCGGGCAGGGGGATCCACCGGGGATTCCAGAGGGATCCACCGGGGATTCCAGGGGATCCAAGGGAATTCCAGGGGGATCCAAGGGAATTCCAGGGGGATCCAAGGGAATTCCAGAGGGATCCAAGGGAATTCCAGAGGGATCCAAGGGAATTCCAGAGGGATCCAAGGGAATTCCAGGGGGATCCAAGGGAATTCCAGAGGGATCCACCGGGATTCCAGGGGGATCCACCGGGATTCCAGAGGGATCCACCAGGGATTCCAGGGGATCCACCGGAATTCCAGGGGGATCCAAGGGAATTCCAGGGGGATCCACCAGGGATTCCAGAGGGATCCACCGGGGATTCCAGGGGGATCCACCGGAATTCCAGGGGGATCCAAGGGAATTCCAGGGGGATCCACCAGGGATTCCAGGGGGATCCACCGGGATTCCAGAGGGATCCACTGGGGATTCCAGGGGGATCCACCAGGGATTCCAGAGGGATCCACCAGGGATTCCAGGGGGATCCAAGGGAATTCCAGGGGGATCCACCGGGGATTCCAGGGGGATCCTGGCCGGGTTGGACAGGGCTGGCAGCAGCCCGGGATAGAGCAAAGCCGGGACCCGGCGCCTCCAGGGCACGGGGGGAACCGGGGGCTGTGCCCGTGTTTGTCCCGGGACACCGGGAGGGGTCAGGACCCGTCCCCGTGTTTGTCCCGGGACACCGGGAGGGGTCAGGACCCGTCCCCGTGTTTGTCCCGGGACACCGGGAGGGGTCAGGACCCGTTCCCCGTGTTTGTCCCGGGACAGCGGGAGGGGTCAGG